TCCTATGGGAAACAGGGCTTAACAGGTTATGGCCCCAGATACCATTCTTAATTCGGTTCAACCACCTTCACCTGGAGCTGAACTGGTATCTTGTGATCTGACCTGTGGAGTGTTAACCACTACACTATGGACCCACAGGTCTAGAAATGTTGTTTCTTTCATAATATATACTCTGTTATATATAAATTAAATAAAAAAATAATGTTTATCTACAAATAATAATAATAATAATAATTTAAATATTGATTATTACTAATAATAATTAATAATATTAATATAAAGATATTTAATATATAGTTTAAACATTAATAAATAATAATAATAATAATATATTATTATATAACTTGCTTTTTTAAAAAAATAATAATAAAGTTTATATTGAATTAAAATATAATTTTTATTAATTTTTAAAAAAAATATTAATACAAATATATAGTACAAAACAAAAATAATTGTACTGATATTTTTTATAATAATTTAATAAATAATAATTTAATTGAAATAAAACTTTAAATATATATATTTTATAATCTAATTAATAAATTTATTTAAAAATATTAATTTAAAGTTAAAAATAAAAATTTTCAAAAAATATATTATGAATTTTACTATAGAAAAAATTTTAAAAAAATTAAATATAAAAATAAAACTTTTATTTTAAGCTTATAAAAAAATTATAAAAAATTTATTATTATATTAAATAAATATTATTAAAATTGGTTTATTTTTTTATTACATAAAATTATTTTTAAAAAATATTTAATATAATTTAAAAGTTTATATTTAATGTAAAATTTATGTTTTTTAGTAAAATTTGATTAAATTTTAAGTTAAGTTAATTATTAAATAATTTTTTATATTTAATAAAAAAATAATTATTATTATATTATTATTATTATAACTTTTATTTAATAAATATATAGATTAAAATAATTTTAATAATTTTTATTATTTCTATTTTATAATGTAATTAAAATTAATTATTTTTTAAAAAAAAATTTTTAACTTAAATTTTAAGAAAATTTTAATAATATATTTTTAAAACTTTATTAAGTAAACTTGTTTTTTATATTCTTAAATATATTAATATAGATTTTTATCTTATTTTATCAATTAGTTATTAAAATATTATAAAAAACAAAAATATATATGTAGTTTAAGTATTTTTGTTTTATACTATATATATTAAATCATTTTAACAAAACAAATATTTATTATCTTGTTTTTTAATTATAATTATATAATATTATGATTAGATTTGTTATTATATAAAATAAACTAAATAAATAATTTTCTGTCAATTTTTTTAATAAATTAAAAAACAGATATTTTTAAAAAATTTTTTATTTTAATAATAATAAAATATATATATTTTTTTTAACAAAATGGATTTTTAATTAGAAAAGTAAACAACAGTTATTATTTGTTTTTTTATATTTTTTCCAATTTATTTGTAATTAAATACAACTTATCTAAAAGATTTATAATAAAAATATTTTTATAGAAAAAAAAAATGATAAGAAAAATAACTTTCAAAAACTTTCAAGAGATTCAAAATTTTTAAAAAAAAATAATAATAATATTTAATTTTTATATTATTTTTTAGTTTTTTATTTCTTTTTTTCAATATATTTAGTTTCAATATTTTAAATTTTAAATAAAACCTGTTGTTATTTAAAAACTTATTTTTATCATTTGTTCATATACAGTAATTTAAAATTTTGTTTATTAAAATTAGAATTATTATTCGACGTATTTTTATCTAATTTGATTCAAAACAGTTTTAGTGTCTTTTTGATAACAATTATATAATATTGGTATGCTTATTTCATTTTGACATTGAATTGACAACTCTAAAAGTTACAAAGTTATGACTGGTTTAAAAAAAAATAAACTACAGTAACTTGGCATTTAAATCAAATAATTAAAAAAAATTTTTCTTATCTCTTAAAACACGTATTTAAATTAACAATAATAACAATAAAAAATTAAATATAATACTATAAGAGATAAATTTTTTAGTAATTTCAATAAAATAAGGTTTTTAATTTTTATTTGAATTTTTTTAATTGTACATCTTTTAGTACTTTATCACGATTTAGAAGCATTGTGAAATACATAAAGTTGTAAATAACGACGCTGTGCGTGATCTTCAAAATTTTTTGACTATGTACAATGATATAAAGAAATATAATATTAAGCTACGCTTAGATTTTCACATCTCATCAATAAAGACCCGGATCATGAGGATATCTTCAAAATGTGCATTTTGCTTAATTACAAAGCGAATTTATAAATCATCAATGTTGATTTCGATACACATTACTGCTACCATTTTCATTGTTCTATTTCGCACACAGTTATCAACGGGTTGACGAGTTTGATAGTAAAATTTGTGAACTAATTATGAATAATATAAAAGGTGGAGTTTTTAAAATACAGTATTATTTTTTATAATACATTGTCTATAATGTTCATGGTAACTATGATGTTTCAGATGATGCATATTGTTCGGACGTGGTTGATGCAGAAATATGTAATGTGGATAGTGATGTAGTTGATGCATTAGTTGTAGTTTCTGAATAAGGTATTGGTGGGACAGAACCGTTTTGCGCATGACTACTAGCTGTATTTATTATTGCAGAGGAAGATGGGGAGCCTAAATTGTTAACTGTGTCAGTTGAAATTTGTGATAGAGGTTGAGGTATCGGATGAGTTGATCTCGAAGGAGGTCTTGATTCATTATTATTGTTACCAATTGGTATACTATCATGCGTGTGATCCGTATCAACGGATACGACGTTCCCATCAGTCTGCTGATGTGAATTAGAACTAGGTTGATATGACTGTGGTGGCATTTGAATTCCTGATTCACGATTACCTCCGGATGCATCCTCCAACGATGAACTAGAAGTAAACATCGCAGGTCTCGATTGTGCCATTGATTCAGACCTATGTTCAATATCACAATTATTCTCAACTTCCATATTATTTGTTCTATCTTCTAAAGAAATTGTTTTTGAGATATATGGTGGTGGGAGCCCTACATCCTGTAATGTTTTTGTGTATGTAGGTGGCGGTGTTGTTAATGTCTGTTCCATATCTCCTATGTATTGATCATCCGCTATATCATCATTTCTGCTTTCTTCTTCGCTGTTGTTATTGTTTCGCTGTTGCGAGGTGATTGACGAGGCGAATGAGCTAATGCTACGTAGTCGATTGGCAAATGCTCCAAATCTATAATTTGCAAATGTTTGATAGGTGTCGCGTGGTGATGGGGACGTTCTCATTGATGTAGAGGATCGGTTTCCGTATGAGTAGATTGTAACTGCATTATTCTCACCACGACGGCGCCGTTGTAATGGTGTGCCATAACAATTCAATCTAACTATGACCTGAATAGATGATTATTACGTGTGAGAATTTGAATTTAAGATTTATCATATTAATATCGCATCTCGTGAACCATCAATGAACAAACACAATCCTAACTTTTCAACATACCCAATAGATAACATATGCAAACACAAGGAACACCCCTATCATTAATACGCTTGATATTGAAATGTCATCGTCAACAAAAGAAGTCAGTAATAAGCCCATCATTATCATAAATACCACCACTATGTACGCGCGGGTTACGTATTTATGAAATCCTGGATACCGTGGAGAGGCCATAACTCTCTCTATTGCTAACAAAACCTATGGAAAGATATCTGGTTTTTTCAAAATTATGAAAATGATAAGTAAATAGGTGATATATATATACACTATGTTGATATTTTAAGATAAATTTTTCGAAGGTGCGATTTAGAAATATCGAAGTTTCGGTCGTTGTTATCGCCTAGATAAAGGGCACCGGTTTAATAATTTACCACACGGAATTATGTATTACGTATGCATATACAAAATTAGCATATACACATACATAATGCTAAACCATTCTTTGTTAAGTGTTTAACCATTTTTACATCCTTTACATGCATTTCTTTTTAGTAACAGGATTATACAGTATAATTATACGGAATGCGGAATGGAGTGAAGATCGACTCCGTATACACATGTAATTTCCATAATTGCTGTGAATATGTTAAATTAACTTTTTTTTATTTCTTAATATTTTATCAATGATATCGTCATAATCTTTCAAAAACTTGAATAAAAAAACCAAGTTGATAAAAAATCAAAACACAATGTAATTTATTACTTTTTTTTTTTTAAATGTTAAGCGAGGCAAGTAATTTATTACTTTTATTAAAGTAAAATAGGCAATAATTATATCCTTTTATAAGAATGTAATATTGTTAAAAAAAAAAAGCTTTTAATAGGGTTAAAAAACAAAGTAATAATAATATTATTAGATATCTAAAAATTTGTTTTTTATTTACGTATTTTATATTATATTTAAAAAATATATAATTAATATAATTACACAAACCAAAATCAATAAACTTGTGAAATTAGCATATAAGATCTTATCAAAATGCTTCAATACAATTCTAGCCAGCTACAGTAGTTTCAATCTGATGGCATTAGAAGAAAAGCAAAAAATTATACCAATAGGAAATCTTTTTTTTTTTACTGTTAAGGTGAGACATGTCTTATGATCTTTATTAATACATAATTATTATTATTACATGATTAGTTTTTAAGATATGAGATATATGAACAAAGTAAACTATGTATATATTAATTTACTATCTATTATGGCAGATATATGGGTAATTATTTTTGAAGGCAACAAAAATGCTAGATATGATTTTTTCGGACCCAGCTTTTAAACAATGCATATATAATATAAATTTTAGGAT